TGCATGTTGTGTTCTCATCTTCATTTGTTTCCAGAAATTTTTTGATTTCTCTTTTGTTTTCTTCATTGACCAACTGTTCATTCAGGAGTATGTTGTTTAGTTTCCATCTGTTTGCATATGTTCTAGAGATTCCTTAGTTGCTGATTCCCAGCTTAATTCCATTGTGATCTGAGAAGATGCATGGTATGATTTTGATTTTTTAAGTTGCTGAGACTTGCTTTATGGCCTAGCATTTGGTCAATCCTAGAGAAAGTTATATGCACTATAGATAAGAATATTTATTTTGCAACTGTAAGATTAATAGTTCTGTAGATATCTGTTAGGTCCATTTAGTCTATCGTGTCGATTAACTCTGTTGTTTCCTTGGTGATTCTCTGGTTGATCTGTCTATTGCTGAAAGTGGTGTAGTGAAGTCCCCCATTAGCACTGTATTGGAGTCCACGTCTCCCTTCATATCCCCTAACATTTCTTTCAAATAGCCAGCTGCATTGTAATTAGGTTATATACATTTATAATTGTCACATCTCCCTATTAAGTTGATCCTTAATCATTACATAGTGCCCTTCATTGTCTCTTTTAACAGTTTTTGTGTTAAAGTCTATATTTTCTGATATTAGGATCACTACACCAGCACGTTTTTATTTTCTGTCAAATTGGAATATCTTTTCCCATCTTTTCACTTTCAGTCTAGAAGCTTCTTTGTTGGTGAGATGTGTTTCTTGTATGAGCAAATTAATGGATTTTGTTTTTTAATCCATTCAATCAGTCTCTGTCTTAATTGGGGACTTGAGGCTATTTACATTCAAGGTGACTATTGATTTGTAATGACTTTGCCCTGGTATTTTTCTATAAATATTTCTTCTTTTTTTCTATAAATATTTCTATAAATATTCCTATTGTTTACTTTGGATTTCCTTTGTACTTTTACTGGGACTTTCTGGCTTCCACTTCTTTCATAGTGATGACCATGTTTCTGTGTTTCTGTGTGCAGCACATCCTTAAGCATCTTTTCAAGGCTGGATAAGTGGTGACAAATTCTTTCATTTCTGTTTGTTATGGAAGGTTCTTATTTCACCTTCGATAATAAATGAGAACTTTGCAGGGTACAATATTCAGAATTGCCAGTTTCTTTCTTTTAAGACTTGGAATATATCTCACCATTCTCTCCTCCTAGCCTGTAGGGTTTCTGATGAGAAGTCTGTTATGAGTCTAATTGGAGATCCTCTGAAAGTAATCTGGCATTTCTGTCATGCACATTTTAGAATCATTTTTTAATGTTTTACTGTGGAGAGTTTGATTACAATATGTCATGGTAAAGATTTTTTCTGGTCATGTCTATTAACTTCCTGTATTTGGATGCCCCTTTCTTCCAGTTAGGGAAGTTTTCTGTTATTATTTCACTGAAAAGGTCTTCTAATCCTTTCTCTCTTTTTATGCCTTCAGGATCTCCTAGAATTGCATGTTGAGTTGTTTGATAGTGTCCTGTAGATTCCCTACAGTGTTTTAGTTTTCTAATCTTTTTCTTCGTATGTTTGGTCTGACTGTATAATTTCCTGTGATTTATCTTCTAAGTCAGATATTCTTTCTTCTGCTTTACCAATTCTGTTGTTAAGCCTTTTCACTGTATTTTTTATTTGCTCTCTTGTATTCTTCATTTCCAAAATTTCATTTTGCTTTCTCTTTAAAATCCCAGTTTCATGGGAGAAATTCTTTTATGTCATGTATGAATTTCACTAGTTCTTGCATTTGCTTCTGATTACTTCGATTACTTCTAAGTAATCCTATGATCAATTTTTAAATGCCATTTCTGGCATTTCTCCTATCTCTTCATCTTCACAATTTAGTACTGAAGTGCTGTATTCCTTTGGTGGTATCGTGTTATGTTCTTTATTCTTGTTTCTTGAATTGGTGTATTTATTATTTGGTATCTGTGGAGGTACTCAAGACACTCATTGGCATTGGTTTCTTCTTCTTCTCCTCCGCCGCTGCCTTCTCCTTTGCCACCTTCTCCGCCACCTCTGCTGCCTCCTCCTCTGCTGCCGCCACTGCCACTTTGGAGAATTTTATCTTTGAACTGTATCTGTGTGGATTAGTGGAGTGTCTGTTTTCAGTGAATACCTACAGGCATGTGGTAGGTGTGGCCAGGGAGCTCTGTTCAGTGCTCCAGGGTGAAGGGAGTATTAAGGTGACACCCAGGTTAGGTGTGGTAAATTGCCCCTTTTTTTTCTTTTTATCAGATGGGAGGTTTGTTCTGATTTGTTGTCGTGGACTCAGCTCACTTCCTCTCCTAAACGGACACCAGTGCCTGGATGCTAGCCCCAGTGGGTATAGTATTCATCCTTGCTTCCACAAGGACCACACAAAGGATCTGTGCAGTCCTTGGTATAAACAAATTACCCAGTAATGTCCCTCACCAGGGAACTAGGGAGCCCTGGACATGTGTCTCCCACAGTGACTGCCCAAAATCCCAGCCACACCACAAGCCTTCCCATGCAGCCTCAGTGTTTTCACCATGCTGGCCCACAAGCCTCCCACAGTCACGAGCACCAAGCCCCATGTCAGTTCTCCCCCACCAGACTCACGAGTGTCTGCTCGGCTGGTTGCTGGACATGGACATGAACTGGTGCAGCTGTTATGTGTGTCCAAAATGGCACCTGCTCTATCATCTTATTACAGGACACCATTGTAAAGTGATTGGGGAGAGAGAAACGTGTCCCCCCTTTTTTCTCCTCTAGTTTGGCAGGTACACTGTCCCCCACGGGGCTTCAAGCTGGATTCCTTCCAAGCTTTTCCTTCAACTTTATCACCAGTGGCTTGGGCTGCTGCAGTCTGGTCTTACTTCACTCTCCAAAGCAGGTATGGAGACTCTTGGCTGGTGGGGACCCACTTTGTATATGTCCACAGCTTCCACATAGGTCCATTGTGTTCCACTGATTTGTGTGGAGTTTCCTTTACCATTTTCTCCCTAACTCTTCCCTGAGACTACACTCTATCCACCTTTTTAAAATTATTTTCTCCTAGACTAGAGCAGTAAGCTCCCTCCATACTCCACCATTCTAATTCAATCACTACTCTTTTGGAAGGAAAATAAAAAGCACTGTTCTACAGCAGTAGAGACAAGGGCTGTAAGCAATAATCAATTCTCAAAATGTCAATTTTTCTTATATATGTTACTTTTTATTCTATTAGTTACTAGGGTTTAAAAAAGATTTATTTATTTGAAAGAGTTACAGAGAGAGAGGGAATGACAGAGATCTTGCATCTGCTGGTTTACTCCCCAAATGGCTGAAATGGCCAGGGTTAGTCCAGGTTGAAGCCAGGAGCTTCACTGGGGTCTCTTATGTGGATGCCAGGGGCCCAAGCATTTTGATTATCTTCTGCTGCCTTATCAGGCACATTAGCAAGGAGCTGGATGGTAAGTTGAGCAGCTGGAACTTAATCTGATGCTGATATGGGATGCTGACATCACAGGCTGTGGTTTTATTAATTATGACATAATACTGGCCCTATACTTACTACTTTTTAAAAAAAATCAAAGATGGATACATTAATATCACATAATGTGAGATTTGTGAAAAGGATCATAAAATGAGAGAAGAAGGGTATATTATGTAGGGGGTATAATAAAGTGTATATATATACAAACCTCCACATATGAGATATGAGTAGTATTTATCTTTCTGTGTCTGGCTTATTTCACATGTCATAATGATCTTCAGTTCCTTCTATTTTGTTGCAAATGTTAAAATTTCATTCTTTTTATGGTGCATATATAGCATATTTTCTTTATCCATTAATTTGTTGATGGATATCTCAGTTGATACAACAACTTTGCTGTTATGATAATGTAATTATTGTATGAATGTTGGAAAATGTATCTAAGGAGAGTAATTCAGTGACTCCAATTTTTCCTTTCTGGTTGAAAAATGCAGGCCAGCTACAAAAACTAATTTCAAACTAGGTTTCCTAAATTCCTTTTATTTTTCTCATTTCTTCTAATCTCAGACATTTCAGTTGCTCCTGGCCATGCCCCTATTCGATCATGTTCATATGGATAGATGTATCTGAAAATGGGAACACCTTTTCTTCATTCAGCAAATATTCATTGAGTAACACAGAAAGTGCTGGGGGGTAGACATAATTTGTATTCTAGCTTTTCCATTTAACACTATATAACATGAAGCTTGCAACATATTTATTTTTCAAATATATGCTTTTAATGTCTGCATAGTATTCCATAGTATGGCTACATCTTAATTTATTTTAACCTTTGCATATTATTATATGGAAGAAACAGTAGATTCAGAGTAGTAGCCACGAAACTAGAAAGAAGTTAGTACAGAGACATCATGTTTTTGGTACTAGCTAAAGTGATCAATTAAAATGTTTTCAGTTGTTATTTGAGCATTTATTAGGATAATCAGTTCATTTGTATGGTAAAGTCCAAATGTTGAATGATACATCTAGGGAATATGAAAAAAAATTTAAAATCTGGAAAAACAAAAATATATGTAATAAATCAATTGTAATTGTATACTTGCATAAAAGATTCAGAACCATAAAGTATAGACAAGTTACTAAAGAGTCACCGAAGAGCTAAAGGGGATTATATATATCATGTTGTTATGACAGAAAATAAATACAATAAAACATGGAATAGATTTATGCAGTTTGAATCAGAAGAGGAAAAATTTCAGGTTCAAATTTCTGGGATCAGTCTCTATGGTGATTCTGGGTAACTCCAAAAAGCAGGACAACTTTCAAATCCAAAATAGGAAGTCAGAAGCTATGTTAATATTAATATATTATTTGCATCATTTACTTGGTAGAGGGTTTTAAATCAATACATATTTAAGTACGTTTCTGATGAGATAATTGTAGTAGTGCTTGAGGAAAAAGGTTTGGAAATTGGAGTCCAATCCCCTATGGCTGTTTAGTTTTGACATGTAATTCACAGTTGACCTTGAATGAGTCTGTTACTTCGATTTTCTTTTCCATAGAATAAAGAAGACACTGGACAAGGGAGAGTTTCACTCTTGATGTGGTTACCAATGAGTTTTTTTCCCTGACAGTTGTCTTGCTCAACAGGTAACAACTTCTATTTTCCTGCCCTGCAAACTCATCTAAAAAGACATGAAACAGAGCAGTGGTTACCCAAGGAGAGGGTGGGATGCCAGGGAGGATTACCAAGGAGTACAAGGAAGATTTTAAGTGTGACGAGAATGTTCATTATCATCATACTCATTAATCATGATGATGGTTGCATGGGTGTATACATTTCAAGATTTATCAAATTGTGCCATTTAAACATGAGCAGTTTGCTGTGTGCCAATTATAATTCAATATAAAGGTTTTTTTAAGAGACTGCTGATAGATTTATTTTTAGCATTTCTCATTGTGTAAGTCTGCTGGTGATTGCCCTTTCAGCTTTTGTATGTCTGAAAACGCATATATAATAATAATTGATAGAATTAAAAAAAGAGAGGATGATCCTACATGGACAGCAGGATACGCAGTAGACTCATAGAATGGCAAATGCCCTAAACAGCACTCTGGCCTCAGAATCAGCCCTTAAGGCATTCGGATCTGGCTAAAAAGCCCATGAGAGTATCTCAGGCATGGAAAGCCAAGTCACTGTAGCAAAAAATGACCTAAATTAAAGATTTATGTGAGTGAGATCCTGGTGGAAAGAAGGAGCCATCAAAGAAGGCAGTACCTTTCTCTGAAGGGAGGAGAGAACTTCCACTTTGACTATAGCCTTGTCTAAATAAGATCGGAGTTGGCAAACTCATGAGGCTTCCATAGCCTTGGCAGCTCATGACAAGAGCCTCTTGGGTGATTACTGACATCATAAATAAGAATGTCAACTGATAAATCAACAACAGGAGTCACTGTGCACCTAATCCCCATGCAGGGCCTCTGTCCTTAATGTGTTGTACTGTGAAACTTAACGGTAAAACTACTACCCAAACAGTACTCTATACTTTGTGTATCTTTGTGGGTGCAGTCTGTTGAAATCTTTACTTAATATATACTAAGTTGATCTTCTGTATATTAAGATAATTGAAAATGAATGTTGATGAAGAATGGGATGAGAGAGGGAGTGGGAGATGGGATGATTGCAAGTGCAAGGGAGGTTATGGGGGGGAAGCTGCTATAATTCAAAAGTTGTACTTTGGAAATTTATATTTATTAAATGAAAGTTTAATAAAAAGATATAGAACATTTGAAGTAGTTCCCCTTTTTTTTGTATGTGGCAAGAGCATCCAAGCAGCTCTTTTATAGAATCTTTCCAATATACAATAAAATATTATTAACTAGTCATAATGCCATTTATTAGATTGCTAGACTTATTCACTCTACATAAATATACCTCTGTGTCCTTTCCTCTGTATCTGTCTTCCCATTTCCTACTTCCTGTTGTGCTACTGGTAACATTTCTGTAGTCTCCTTTCTATGTATTATATATCATTTTAAATGTCTTCTTTAAGTGAGATAATATATTTTGTGTCTGTCTTAATTCATTCTGTGCAATGCCCCATAAATTCATCCATATTATCACAAAAGTCAGTATCTTCTTTGTTAAGACAGAATACTATTCCACTGGAGCATGCAAGGTCTTCAAAAGTTCATAGAAAATGTCTTATGAAAAAAACCATGCTCAAGCAAGATGTCCACCATCAGATGAAAGGATGAAGAAAATATACATATACACACAATGATTATCATTCAACTATGATATAAATGGAATTCTATTGTTTACATCAAAATTGTTGCAACTGGAGGACATCATGTGTTAAATAAGCTAGACACAGACACATGCTGCATGTTCTCTCTTATGTGTGGGAGCTAAAATATTAATAAAAAACCCTATGTATCAATTTCAATTTTTGGCACCAAAATAGATTTAATATTTTTTTCCATGAAAATAATTGCACTTTTCATGAACCTTTTGAGTTTGTCTTGTATACATACCACAATTTATTTGCTCAGACATCTGTTGAGAGTGGCTTAGATTGTTTCCCTATATTGGCTATTGAATAATTGTACAATGAACATGGTAGTGCTGATATTACAATCAAGTCTTGATTTAATTCCCTTTGATTATATACAAGAAGAGAGATTTCTGGCTTATATGGTAATTCTATTTTTAATTTTTGAGGAAACTTCATACTGTTTTCTATAATGATTACACCAATCTGCATTCCCACAAAGTATATATAAAGGTTACATTTTCTCCTAATACCAAAACTTGATATCTTTTGTCTTTTTGACAATAGTTATTCCAGCAGATCTGCAGTGATATCTCATCATTGTTTTAGTTTTCATTACATGATGATTAGTGATGTTGAACATATTTTCATATACTTGTTGGCTCATTTGTATATCTTCTTTTGAGAAGTGTTTATTCAGGTTTTTGCCCATTTTAAAATTAGGTTATTTGTTTTCTTGCTAATGAATTATTTGAATTCTTTATATATTTTGGATATTGACCCTTATTTGATATATGGTTTATAATTATTTTCTACCACCTCATAGGCTGGCTTTCCATTTTGCTGATTGTTTTCTCTGATATACAGAAAACTTTGAGCTTGTTATAATCTCACATGCTTAATTTTGCTTTTGCTGCCTATGTCTTTGGTGACAAGTTCCCCAAATCCTTATCAAGCCCAATATGAAGGAACATTTATCCTATGCTCTCTTCCTGGAGTTTTATAGTTTCACGCCTTATGTTTAATGCATTTGAATTGATTTTTGGGTGTGTTGTAAGAGAGGGATTCAATATTCTTTTTTTGCATGTGGCCATCCAATTTTCCCAAACATAATTTACCATGAGATTGTTCCTTTTATCATTATGCATGGAGCCTTGGTTACTATAATTTTGTAGTGTATTTTCAATTCTAATAGTACAATGTCTTCTGCATTGTTCTTCTTTCTCAAGGTTACTTTGGCTATTTGGGGTCTTTTGTGACTCTATATGACTTTCAGGAATTTTTCTTATTTATATAAAGAATTGAAATTTGATAGGGATTGCACTGAATATATTGCTATGGGCGTTATGGGCATTTTAAAAATATTGATTCTCTAAAACATACATGTGTATATTTTAATTTATTTATCTTTTCTATTTTTTTCTTGTGTAAATATTATATATTTTCATCGTACTGAAATTTCACTTCCCTGGTTAACTTTGTTCTTCAGTATTTAATTTTTTTTTTTGCCAGGCAGAGTTAGTGAGAGACAGAGAGAGAGAGAGAGTGAGAGACAGACAGACAGACAGTGATAGAGAGACAGAGAGAAAAGTCTTCTTTCCATTGGTTCACTCCCCTAATGGCCACTATGGCCGGCACTGCCTGATCCGAAGCCAGGAGCCAGGTTTTTCCTCATGGTCTCCCTTGCGGGTGCAGGGACCCAAACACTTGAGCCATCCTCCGCTGCCCTTCCAGGCCACAGCAGAGAGCTGGACTGGAAGAGGAATAACTGTGACTAGTACCCGGCACCCCAACTGGCACTAGAAACCAGGGTGCTGGTGCCGCAGGCGGAGGATTAGCCAAGTGAGCCACGGCACCGGCCAGTATTTAAATTCTTAATAAATCTTATAAATGGAATTGTTTACTTGATTATTTTTCAAATAGTACATTATGAGTATATAACTACTAGTTTTTGTATGTTGATTTTGTCACTTATAATTTCACTGAAATAATGTATTATGGGATGTTGGCATCTTTAGGTGGTGGTTTAACCTGCTGCCTTAAATTCAATCTACTTTTATTCAAGACAATTATGATAAACAAAAGCTTACTATTGCTGCTGTAGAAGCTCTCTATTGCATCATTTAATTCAATCATTGCTTTCTTCATCTCCAAAATTTGCATTTGGTTCTCTTTAAAATCTTTTCTATTTCTTTGTTGAATTTCTTGTTCTGTTCTTGTGTTGTTAAAATGCTTAATCTGTGTTCTCTTGACAACTACATTTCTTTAGAACAACTATTTTAATTCTTTTATAAAAATTTTATTTAAGGTATGCAAATTTTGTATATACAGATTTAGGACATAGTGATATATCCCACCCTGCCCTCCTTCCTGCCCACATTCCCACACTACTTCCTCCTCTCTTGCTTATTCTCACTCTTAATTTTTACAAAGATCTATTTTCAGTTTGCATTATATTCAGAAGATTAACTGTACACTAAGAGTTCAACAAATAGTATGAAGAAAAAAACATTGTTCCTCAGTAGAGACAAGGGCTATAAACAATCATCAAAGCTCAAAATATCAATGTCACTCCTGTACATTACATTTTAGGTACTCCATTAGTTACCACAGATCAGGGAAAGCATATGGTATTTGTCTTTTGGGGACAGCCTATTTCACTAAGTATAATGTTTTTCAGTTGCTTCTATTTTGTTGTAAACAACAGGATTTCTTTTTTTTATGTCTGAGTATTATTCCATAGTGTATTTATACTATAATTTCTTTATCTAGTCTTCAGTTGATAGACATCTGGGTTAATTCAATATCTTCCACATTGTGAATTGTGCTGCAATACACATAGGGAATACAGATTACGCTTTCATATGCTGATTTCATTTTGTCTGGGTAAATTTCCAGAACAGGGATTGCTGGATTATATGCTATATCTATTTTGGAATTTCTGAGGTATCTCCATACAGTATTATGTGGGGAGCAACTCGGACTAGACTAAGTTACTGGAATTAAGACTTATTCTATGCATCTGCTCTCCCACAATATGGCGCTGGGAGAGGAGGAAACAGCTTCTACTCAGCTGCCTCCAGTTCAACCAATAAACAGCAGGACCTGCTCCTGATTGGAGGAGAGCAGCGTACTCGGCTTTGTGGGTAGCAGAGTTGGGATTGGTGGAAGAGGACTATAGAGGAGAGAGACAACATGCACAAGGAACATCTATCTGAAGGAACACCTGTGCAGCCCCTGAGAGAGCCGGCGGGTGGTGTGCTGCTCCCCCGCAGAAGTGGGGAAAGTGGCAGGGGGAACCGCCCTTCCACGGAGGTGGAAGGGTCGGTAGCCAACCCGGGAAGAACCAGCAGCAAACCCGGGAAGGGCCGAGCA